ACACACACACACACACACACACACACACACACACACACACACACACACACACACACACACACACACATATCTCCCCCGGCCAATATTTTATACTGCTTTTGTTATGCTCAATGTTCCTAACTTAAAGAGACAAAAAAGGGAAAACAAAGACATCTACAGCACATAAAAACAGACAATGGCTACCCACATAAACATTCTAAAAAGTTGGCTTTTCTGATGCTTGAAGTCTCCCAGCGTTTTCCACTCTTTGCATTTAACAATTCCCATTTGCCAGTTCAAGAAGTGTGAATTAGTTTTGCTGAAGTAGTTCTGCATTACCCAAAAATCAGCTAAGCTATTCATGAATTGATGTATCATTATCTTCAGGCTTCAGCCTTCAGATTTGTGCCCTTTAGTTGATTTGTATTGATTTGACCTGCTATGTCAGCTGAACTGTGCCCCCCTCTCAATGGAGTCTCTAAAGTGGATCATAAAGATAAATTTATAATGCTGTCAGATGGTATAAAAAGCGCCATTTGCAAGGTGCATTCTCATTTTCCTGTTGAAAAGACAGTATGGCTCCAAGGTAAGGAAAATGCCAGCTAGTCTATTGTTAAAGCAGAATATATATTATGTGTGGCTGCATTGTATTATGTGGGCCTAAAGGAAAGCTGGTTGAGGGAGCTTTTAAAACCGTTTTGAGGTCTTTATATGCTGATATGTCAAAATTTGGCCAACAGTAAGGATTGTTTTCATTTTATTATGTCATTGTTTTTATCCCAATCTTCTAAAGACGGTCAGAGGGTATTAAATGTCCCCTTAACTGAACTAAATATAGTTGKATTACCAGTGAATATTACTTTGATTTTATTTTCTCCTGTGAGCTGACACAAAGATGTGAAGTGAACTCAAAGGGAGGGTAAATGARTTTAGAGGTCTGTTGATTCACTCAGCATGCTCAGTCCCATTTTTAAATCAAAATAATGGTAATAATCAGCCTAATTATTAGATGGACAATTAATTTGCTTCTCCAGCACTGCACATGACCCTACTGAAAAAACGAAATAAAAATGTTCTTATTGTTAGTTTGTCATTTAGCACTATTGTGACATAAAGTATACTAAATGTGACATCTATCAAATTTTGGGTAACAGATCAGATTTTAACTTGAAACAAAAAAATTAAAAAAGAGATGTGTTTGTAGGTTAATTAGCCATGGAGCTAACGCCTCTCTGTGAAAGGGAGCTTTTGCAAATGAGTCATTTCAGCTTTAGTCTTAAGTATGTTTTTATATGCCACATGTCAGGACTTCACATTGACCATGGGACTATGGTTAGTTGACTCCTCCCACCCCCACCCCCACACACACAAAAAAATGCAATATGTTTTAATGAGTCTCTCTTGCATGAGATTAGATGGAACTCAAGATCTTGGGCTTAAGGGCTTTGAGACAGAATGTTTTAAGAATTTATGATTAAGAAGGATTCGGTCATCTGAGGATGTATTCATTCCATGTAAATCTCTGGGATTGTATAAYGCTTGTTACCAGAGAAGGATGATTCTGTTCAATTGTAAAGTAGATTATGAAAACAAAAAAATAGAAACAGAAGACTATAAAAATCACACTCATTGGTGATGTTCTGGCATTGCCATATACTCCTCCAAAATATTTATGCCTATAAAGGTTATCTGTAATCTTTTTGTTGGCTACTTAAAATCATACAAGATTATTAGTTATTTTACTGTAAATCACTTATGTTCCATTACCTGAACATTTGTATTGCATTTATCACCAAAAGTCTTCACAATGTTCTTGTTTCCTTGTTATTTTTAAAGAACATTTTGGTCTTAGGGTTTCTTGTGTTCCTGGTGTGGGATGGACTCTGTCAGAGCTGCCCTTTGTCTTTGGTCTCTTGGGAACCTCAAGGTCTCGTCTGCTTTTTCGAGATGATGTAGTTCTGTTGGCGCCTTAAAGTCACGACCCTCCAGGGTGTCCTAAAGCCATTTGCAGCTGAGTGAGTCAGCTCCTCTAAGTCTGAAACCAAGATGCCTTACCCGATTGCTGCCATTGGGTCAAAATTACATGTGAGACTTCAGATTTAAGACTGAAGCATTTTGCATTTTATGTCCATGCATGCATGGGTTTTCTCAGAGTACTTAAGTTTCCTCTCACAGAACAAAAACATACATGTTAGGTTAACTAGTAACTCTAAATAGTCTCTTGGYTTGGGTGAAGGGTTTTTTGTTTGTATAGCTCTTTTCCAAAGGCAAGTCTTGACTCTTTTCAAGTGTAGGTGTGTCTACTGTAGGCAGTGTGTCACACTGTGGGTGTGGTTGTATCATCAGCAGGTGGCTTTGGCCATTGTGGTTTTATCATCCAAAGGTCTGACTTTTTTTTTAGTTGGTCGCAGCGCTGTTTCTAAGTGCATGTGTAACCTTGCAGTACACCTGTTCATTTCAGACTGTTCCATTGATTCAGGCAGCAGTCTGCTGATGTCAAAGTCACTTCCGCATAAAGATGGGACGAATGGCTCTTTGAAGGGATTTGGGTCTTGGAAAGGTGTTAGTTTCATAGAGCCATCCAAAAAAGCTGTTTGGTTTTGAACGAGTTATGTCATCAAGTAGGAAGATACATCATGTATGTGATGACATCACCTCATCACATTGGTGGAACCACGTGTTTTGTCAAGCAAGAACCCCTTCCCTCTTTCTCCTGAGCTGCTGTACTCCACTCCTTTGCCTGTTTTCCATTCAAAAGCAAATGGGGAGTGAATGTCCCTGTCGTCACGGAGTAAAAACAATTAAACTACAAATGGCCCTTTACTGTCTGCAACTCTGTTCCTATCGTTCATTGTAAGTAAATRGTAAATGGACTGAATTTATACAGCACTTTATCAAGTCCCATTGGACTCCAAAGTGCTTTACACTTACAGACATTCACCCATTCATACACACATTCACACACTGATGGTGATAAGCTACATTGTAGCCACWGCTGACCTAGGGCAGAATGATAGAGGTGAGGCTGCCATACAGCGGACCCTCTGACCACCATCAGAAGGCAAGTTGGGTGAAGTGTCTTGCCCAAGGACACAACAACTCTGAGATGGATGGAACTGGGGATCAAACTGGAACCGGTTACAGGAAAGCACCCCTAACCACTCCACTCCAGAAGGAGCTGTTCAAAAGCAGATCGTTCACGAATGTCACATTTCTGCTTGCGTACAATACTTGGTGTCACCTGTTTGGAACCACTGCTGAGGTGGATCCAAAAATGCGATCGGAACTGGAAATGCGACACATTTGCCTGACGCTGAATCGATGAGAACTGCTTAAAGGCACACCCGTGGAGAAGGGGGCTTATGTGGTCCTGTTGTGAACTTGCAACTGGTCCAGGGTGTACCCCACCTCACACACAGGGGCTGCTAGAGACAGGCACCAGTTCCATATCAGCACAGAATAGAAAAAGCAGGTCTAAATATGGATGGATGGATGGATGCATATTTTGTAATATTTAAACAAGCTTATACATTGCTGCATTTTATCTAGTGTTCTTGTCTCTTGTTGTTAACAAAACGTGTCCCTGAGGAACAATAAAGGTAATAAAGGTCTGAAATGAACTTGCTCAAAGCTCAAGCATTCACTCGGATGATCCAGCTCCCAAAGGGGTTTTCATACAAGAACTTCATTTATAACAAAGTACTGCTGCATTTCAACAACAATAATGTATTTGAAGAATTAATGTGACTTGTTCAACGTGCACTACCTGCTGGAGTCTTTTCAATACGTGCTGCAGATCTGGTCACATAATGCACTGAGCAGAGCACAGATTTGCTGCATTTCTCATAAAAGATTTGACCGCATGTTTTATGGGGAGCCGGTGGGGGGGGGCTCACTTAAATCTTTGCTGGATCGTTGGCCTACTGTGAGGTAAGCGAAGTAGATCAGCAGTGATATATTGGTGCTGTTGGTCCCGTTTGATTGATTGGACTTGACAGCAGCTCGGAACTTGATTGGTAATCTCTCAGCACAGGCAAAAGACCAAAAAATGAACTTTCAGCAATAAAAAGGAGATTTTAACTTTTTTGTGTGTGTGTCTGTGTGTGTGTCTGTGTGTCTGTGTGCCTTCTCCTTTAAGCCTGAAGAACTGACGGATGTGTTAGAGATTAGTAACATTGTTTTCACCAGTATGTTTGTGCTGGAGATGGGCTTCATGCTGCTGGCTTTTGGCTTTTTTGGCTACATCAGAAACCCATACAACATCTTTGACAGCATCATYGTCATCATAAGGTAATATTCATCCACTTTGCCTAATTTATGTCTTTAAAAGATTTACACCAGACTTTGTTTGTAAATGAGCGTAACATCTAAAAGAGCTCAGTCAAGTTATTATTGAGACACTTTGTTTTTCTGATGTTTTTATAAGACAAGCTTTGTTTTTTTTCTCCCTCTCAGTGTGTGGGAGATAATTGGTCAAGCGGATGGTGGACTGTCAGTCCTCCGGACATTTCGTCTATTGCGGGTGCTGAAGCTTGTGCGCTTCCTGCCTGCCCTGAGGAGACAGCTGGTGGTGCTGATGAAGACTATGGACAATGTGGCCACCTTCTGCATGCTGCTGATGCTTTTTATCTTTACTTTTAGGTGCAGACTTCAAAACACACATACACACACCTTCTCTAGTAGTTTATCTTCAAACTTAATGAAATGTGTTTTTTTTATTCCAATGTGTTAGTTTTCATCCACCTAAAGTTGTGAATTGTCCCTTTTAGTATACTGGGCATGCATCTGTTTGGATGTAAATTCGGTCTACGAACGGAGAATGGAGACACCATCCCTGACCGCAAAAACTTTGATACACTTCTCTGGGCCATTGTCACTGTATTCCAGGTTAGTTTTTCACTTTCTAACTAAGACTGTGCCCCTGTACTCCTGATGAGTTATTACTATACATTTTTTAAAATCTATAAATTTTTCCTTACTCATATTTACACACATCACACTGTCCCTGTCATTTAGAATAAATATTTTACCAAAAAAGGATGTAACTTTCATCTATTGATCAGTCATGTTTTTTTTTCTAGCATTAAAACTGTTGATTATCTGTCAGTTTTTCACAGTTTATTGCTAAAAGTGATAGTTTCTAGTATTTTAGACTTAGTTTCAATGGAAAGTTTATGATCAATCAGTCAATGATATTTTACCTGTTGTAGATAGCTTTTCGAAGTACCTTGATTTAGAAAAAAATATGGTGTAATTCAGACCAAATTAACAAAGCAGCAGCTTGTCTAAACAGCCTGAAAGGTTTCACAACTATATGCATTATTTCTGTCTTAGGCAGTTATTTACATAGAATTCTATGATTACCTGCTTGTACGTAGCAGCAGCAGCTCTRGCTAAATCAGATTGGGGATTTTCTAGAAGGCATATTACAACATAAATCTGTTTTTTAACAGTTCAAAAAATTGTGTTCGCACTGACAACTATGACATTCTGAGGAATATTATTTTGAAACAGTAGCATTCAACTTCAGTCTTACCCTCATACTAACTAGTTGTTAGCAAGTCAGTCTGGTCAAAACTAAATTCTGTCTCTTCAAATCAATGACATTCAAGGAGCTATCTGCAACAGGTGGGATATTTATTGTTTTTTACAATCCAAAAAGCCTCACAGCAAAAATAATCTAAATATAGGTMTCTTGTGTTCAACGCCCTAATGGGACAAATTTGTGGCTGGCTTCCTTTTAAATTATAATCTCAAATAACTTTATAGAACTGGTGAACTTGATACATTGCTTTTACAGTACGCATGCACAAAATCCATTTGTTGATGTGTGTGCATTTGCATTTTTATCCCATTAACTTTGTAATCTATTCAGGAACACCGAATGTCAAAACGAACCCAAMGTATCCTTCTGTTCGCTGTGTGTAACTGAGCCAATCCTCTGCTGCTAAGAAATGCAAGATTGTGCCTAATTGCACCCAGCATCCCTCTTTAACTTTGAAATCTATTTTTTACTCTCCCTCCCCAGTGGAGATATTGTTCAATTGTCCCAGATAGATTTTTTTCCATACTCTCTCTCTCTCTCTCTCTCTCTCTCTCTCTCTCTCTCTCTACTGGATGCGTCAGCAAGAGGGTAGAAAGCAGGATTCTCTTTGGTGCTGAAGAAGCATTTTTACAAAGTATATATACTATGTTAGGTGAAGAAGTTCCACTCACTGTAGACTTTTTTTTTTCAGGGCAAGAGACCAGACTACACACAGATCCGGTCAGAGCAGTGTGTGTGCACTGGCTCACTTGCAAGTGTTAAATGAGCAGAACTGTCAGGCGGGATTTTGAYTTTTCCGTCAGTCACACTTATCCACACAATTATTCACATTTATCAACTTCTAGTCCAGAAGGTTATTTTTAAACTGAGGTTTTGCGAGGTTTAAAGCACCTAATTGTTTTTCTTTGTGTCTAATTGATTTTTTTCCAGACCAATTACCTTCTAGTGTGTTTCCTCTATTTCGTCACTAATATGGATGCTCATTCTCCTTGTTTTTTTTTATTATTATGCATCTCTACACCTTACACTCCCTCCATCCTCCTACTTCTGCCTCCACCTGCCTCTTGTGTACTCCTAACTCTGTTTATTTTCACTCTTCAGATTCTGACCCAGGAGGACTGGAACGTGGTGCTGTACAATGGCATGGCTTCTACCTCTCCATGGGCGTCTCTCTACTTCGTTGCTCTCATGACATTTGGCAACTATGTGCTCTTCAATTTATTAGTTGCCATCCTGGTTGAAGGCTTTCAGGCTGAGGTGAGAATGAGTGCGTTGGGTTTTTAAGTGCGCCTTCAGAACAGATTTAATTTGCTGCTTACGTTTGCTATCCAGTCTTCAACTTGAAAGCTTTAAGTGGAACATGTACACAGAGACTTCCTTCTTTATTAGTTTGTGCTTTTGAAAGCAAACTGTAGCTGGAGACACAGGGCTCTGTTTTTAGAGCTCAGTTTTCCTATTGCTTTAGAGTCTATGTGATCTTGGCAAACACAAAAATGGCTATAAACGAGTCAGTTTTACAGATATTGAGATAAAGTTTGGCATGGAAGTAGCTGAGATTGACCTCCAACTTATACTCTGAACCAGTGCTGTTGTCTAGTTTTTGGAAGTGGGTGTATTACGACCTTCACTTCTTATGCTCCATGACTTATTGCATACATTGCATTCACACAGTGCACATTATTAAAAAGGGGTGTTATTATGCAAAATTGACTTTTTTGAGCTTTATTTTGTTTCATTAACCTYTATTTTCCCTCAGTGGGGAAATWAATTCTCTGCATTTTCCCATGACCCATGTGAAGCAGTAGGCTGCCATTTTGTGCTTGGGGAGCAGCCTTGCTCAGGAACCCAGAGTGGGACAAACGGGGGTCTCCCACACACCTTGTTTTGTTATCGGTCCAAGTAGTGGAAGTTCTCTAACCTCTGTGCACCCATCTCAATCCCCACTCAAGCTCCCACCCCACAGAGCACACCTYCCCAAAAGCATTGCTGTAAAGACGTGCTGAAGTTGGTGTGTCTGAAATTGTAGGAGGTTCTTAAAGACACAGAGACCAATTTCAAGGTGTTTAAATAGGCTATGATGCAAAGTCAGATTTATTTTTGATATATACAGTATTTTCAGAACAGCTGAAGGTAACATGGTGCTATATAATTGAACTATGTGCCTGGATAATAAATGATACCCCACTTTATAATTTTTAAATCAATAGAGCCTTTTGATTAGTAAGACCAGTAAGCACATTTTTGTATTAAAACAATGAAAAACAAAACTTTKTTCTCAAAGCAAGTCGATTGAAATAAATAATAAAAAAAGATATAACTGAAACAAAACTGCCAAATATCAACTATTTTAATCTTGTTTTCAACACAGCCGATTCAATGCTTAAAATACTACAGAAGAATAGTACTTACAGCCTGGGATTTTCTAAGTAAATAGACTACAGACTTCAGTTCTTTTTTCAGACCACTACATCAATATATGACTGTGGACAATAAATAAATAAATAAATAAATACAAAAAGAAAAATGTCAGGACTTGCATATCTATAGCAGATAAATTGAAATTGAAGGGTCTTGACCTCCATGTAAAGAACTTTAGTCCACATTGTTGTTTTTAAACATTCAATATAAAAACTAACAACTTTTCATATTAGTGAACTAAAAAGAAAAAAATTGGTAATAAAAGCCAAAAAATAGCCTGTTTTTCATGGACATGTTGTGCGTTTTTTAGGGCGATGCTAATCGGTCAGAGTCAGATGATGAAAAGAAATCCGACAATTTTGACGAGGATGAAAAGGTGGAACAGTTCAGAGACACTGGTAGGTTAAAATGGAGACCACCTTCAGTTTGTTGCTGCTTTGTCATTTCTAAAGACGTCTTTATCTCTAATCCATAGAGCTAAAAATGTACTCTCTGATGCTGACGGCTAAYGGTCACATTGACCCCCATGGCACTGTCGCTCCTCCCATAATTATGCGCACAGCAGCGACGCCCATGCCCACCCCTAAAAGCTCTCTGGGACCTGAGTCCATCTTAGAGGAGGAACTGCTGTACAAGGAGGGGCTATCTCAACAAAGTGAAGTTGGATTGGGCTTCTCTGAGGCTGGAGTGGATAATGTGGGGTCTCGCCGAGGAAGCTCGACGTCAATAGACCCCTCAGCCTATGACCAGCAATCTTTAGTAAGTTATGGTATTGGTTTTATGATTTTAACTTTCAGAGAGAAATCCAGACTACTGCACTGTCTTTACATGTGAAACTTTAATTATGATTGTCCAAGTGAACTTATCTCTAGCTATAATCTTTCAGACCAGTATTGAGGTTTACCCACAACATAATCATTCCCAAAACATTTAGTTCCAACTCGTTTAATTTTATTCTCTATATAAACTCTGATTTCGATTTGATTTCTGATCCACAGAGTTTCTCAAGTCCTGGTCGGCGTTCTCCTCTTCCCCTCCGTGGTTCAGGCAGCTCATGGGGGAGCCGCCGCTCCAGCTGGAACAGCCTGGGACGAGCACCGAGCCTGAAAAGACGAGATACCAGTGGAGAGAGGGAGAGCCTGTTATCAGGGGAGGGTGGAGAGGAGGAGGAGAACAACCAGGATGAAAACGAGGAGGCTGGGGTAAACAACAGACTAAAGCCGGGGTCCATGGAGCTGCAACCGCCGTCTCCTGTTTGCTCCTCCGTAAGAGCAGAATATGGTGACTGTAATGGGAGGACTCTGACATACAACCCAAATGTGAACTCTGACCTCAAAGATGACTTCTCAGCGGAGGATGACTTGGATGATGATGTAAGTWATGAGGAAGGGCTTAAAATTATATTTTAGTGAGGTTCTTTTATAGGTTTAATGTAAATACCTTTTTGAAAGGCCCCAATTTGAGGTTTCAATTAGACCATTTTGAGACGTCAGCTTGTAGCCTGAGGAAAASCAGAATGGATTTCATCTTAATATTCTGATCTCAAAAATTTAAATGACAGAGACAGCAGCAGCAAGCTGTAACATTACTAGTGCATTTCTGAAAGGAACRTCATACCTGTCATTTAAATCTTGACCAACTTTGTACAATCCAAAGTTTGCAGGAAGAAAAAAAAGTCCACAAACACAAACAACTCTCAAGCATGGTGATGGACCGTCATTTTAACACAATAGCAAGTCTACCACAAAATGAGTACAAAGGATGTTGAAATGGACTAATTAAAGTTCAGACCATTAAAATATTTTTAATTAAAAATATGAAACCTTAAGAGAATCTTGCATCAGCACATAATGAACAACTGAAACAACACTGTAAAGGAGAGATGGAGATGCTTGTTTGGCTCACTTTGTGGATCACGGATTTCCTGATCATATATGCGCAACAAGATGTGAGTATTCTTGACTCCCAGCAGTGCAATAGTGAGTCAAAGATGAACCACGTGATCACTAAAAAGCAAAACACTGCTGCTGTCATTAAGCAGAGAGAAAGAGGTTGCCAAATTAGAGCGGACCAATTAAAAGGTAAATAATTTCAAAAGCATAAACTTGTTKCRCCACTGAATCCATTTCYAAGTTCKCTCAGAATGAACCGTTGATCACTTTGCCTTAAAATTATCAGTAGAAGTAAACCCATAGTAAAAAATGCATCTTCTTTCTCTGGTAACTGTCACTGACAGAACTGGGTGGGGGGTGTAGTTTCAGTAGACTAGCAGCTGACCCCAAGTCTGAACATTGGCGCTGAACAATATGGGAACATTGGAAGGTTGAGACGGAAAGTGGTTACTTCGAGATATTATTGGAAGTGGTATCTTAATTTTGGTAAACGTATAGGCTAATGGTATAGAGACATCATAGGTTGTTGTTCAGCAACAGAAATCTTAGGACTTGAATAGGAACAGATACATTTTAAATCTAAAAACTGTACTACATATTTCTTTTTATCTTCTGTGTCTTTGGTTTCTCTGTAATTTTGAAACATCATGGAGTGTGTGTTTTGTGTTCACAGATCTGTGAGCACGCTAATTGTCATGCTTTGAGTCATCAGCGCAYGTAGTAATTGTTTTCTCAGTGGGAAGAAAATGACTTGTGTACATACAAGTGCAATAATAAAACGTGTTTATTCAAATATCTGCATGTGTGTGGAAAAACCTGGAGAATGGTTTCCTCCTGTGTTGGGTTTTAGGCGACCTCTGTTGTGACAATGCTCATGGTTTTATTGGCTTCAGATTGAGTTCATAACACCATGAAATCCTCGGGAACAACAGGCTTCTCTGGTGAATACAGCTCATTACAAACAGGGTTTCAGTGTACTTGTGGGGTTTTGTGTCTATGTTCATGGCTGTGCCTGTATGTGTTTTTGTTACCTGGTACACACAGCCTTGTGAGGACCCGCTGTTCCTTATGGTGACAAAAGCCTATTCACCATGGGGGGAAATACCATTTGTGTGTTAGGGTTAGGACTAAGGTGTGAATTGAGTTTAGGTTAGGTTTAGGGTAAAGGGTCAGGGTTAGACTGTAGAAATTATTGGTAAGTGAAAGGAAGTCAATGCAAAGTCCCCATCAGGATAGAAGAACAAATGTGTGTGTGTGTGCTTGTGTGTGCATGAAGTGCTAAGTGAGATGAATGTTTATCAGGGATTTCAGAGTTCAGCTCCTAGAAGATCTGAGCAGCCAGTTTTTTCGTTTTGTACTCAAACACACACACACACACACACACACACACACACACACACACACATTCTGTATAAGGCTGTTTGCCAAATAGGCAGAGTCTGAGAGGCCTGACTCTGGGCTGTTTTTAATTAGAATCCTAAAGTACAAAAGCTGTGGACCCAAGCTTTCTTCTGTTTGTTTTATTACAAACTTTAATGAGTTCCACGAGACTCTGCTGAGCTTGGGCACTTGCTAAGTTGKAAGTCCACCTGTTCGGTTCTAATTAACTCCATCTGATTATGCAGTGAAACACATGTTTGTTGTACCATTATAGATTTACATGAGGAGTAGCTAACGTCACTGTTTAAATCCTACATTGTTCTATGGTGCCACTGTTGTCGTGGCATGTTCATTTGACTCCTTCTAATATGACCTCTCCTGATCTCAGACATGGTCTTCACCAGTGACTCTCGCAGCAATTTTAAATTTCAGTTTAACTTACATTTGCTCAATGCCAAACACTTATTCAGAGTACAGAAGTAAGGATTTTGATCCTTTGAAGACGGATTCTGTGAAAAGGATGTGAAATAATATAATCTTAAGGATTTTGGAAAAGCACTTTAAAAGACTTAGGTTTGGATAAATAGAMAATGTACTTTTTTTTTTCTACAGCACATTACTAACAATAAAGGATGACCTAAGGGCTTTACAGTTTAGTCAAACAAAATGTTAAAATACAACAGTTAAAAGCAATAAAATAGGAACAAGTAATAGCTAAAAAAGGAACACAACACAACATAAAATCACCAGCTCAAATGTTAGACAAGCTAACAGCCTAACTGAGCGAGACCAAAACCAAAATTAATATCTGGTGTTTTCACACAGCTTTAGCTTCAAAGATTTCATCAACTTTGTTTAAACGTACCATTAATTTGGCAAAACATGGTTATTCCTGCAGAAATATGCGAAACTGGAAATGCTACAGCTAGCTGCTGATGCCACTGTTCAAACAGATGTGACATTTTATGAAATTACCTGTGCCAACCAAAATTTGGTGTTGTAGAAGTTTACAAAAAATAGCCTTTGCTAAACATTTGTGAGATTGCGGCTGTTTTATTAGTTTTTTATTTTTTTTTGCGACAAATCTCAGACTAATTAACAAAGGTGCCATCTACAACAGATTAGACAATAATTATTCATAACCTTTTCACAGAACCTCWYTTCCAAATATCTGAACTTTTGCTATCAATAATGAAATGTTTCCATTAAACCCCTTATGAACCCTATGCACATAACGTACAGTTGAGTCATTTTTTCTCCCCTTTTAATAGCTTTAAGTGACAAACCATCATTTGCTGAGATGTATTTGTCACATATTTTTGGATACATATTTTTGGGATTTTATAAATATTCTAGCAAGTTTATTGTACTTTTGTTTTGTGTTGCATGTATGAGCCAGATGTCAAAGACAAGCCTCTATTTCATGCAATGTTGTGGACAATAAAGCCTCTTTGATTTGAATTGAATTGAATGGAATTGAAATTAATGGAATTGAATTGAATGGAATGGAATTTAATTGAATTGCAGTTCTTAGTATTTATTCAACTAAATAACCTCATCAGTTTTAACCATTATTACCTGGCTATTAAACATAATCACATGGTCTTATCAATCCAAATGCATTATCTCTATTACCTGTTTTCATTTAAAACACAGTGAAATAGCTGATGTGTCACCAGAAAATCTGTTTGTAATGATCTTGACTGATCATAAAATTTTTAAAAAATTGCATTGAGTTTTTCAGATTCAGAGAAACAATTGTTTGAATAATTGTAAACTTAGTTCACAATGTGTTGACAAAACAATTCATCAGTCATTCTAGAGATCAAACTGCAGATGAATCAATGCAAGCTTTTCTTAAAGCTTCAATCATCGGGCTGTAATGGAGGACCCGATGTGCGGTGAAGAAGTTTGTTTTCTCAAGTAAAAAAAAAGATGTTCACAGTGGGTTATAAACATGGTGACTGTGGAGGTGATAAAGATTTTACAATTTGCCATCATGATGCAAACAGCGCTTGGATACTGATAGTGATTTTGTTTTATAGTGTGCAATGATGAATAACAAAGAAAGTCATTTTGTTGCTGCTTTGTTTATTGACGTGCGACCTCTCGCTGCTGCAGAGTCCTTTCTGCTACTGGGTACGGAGAGAAATCCAAAACATCAAGCCCCGCTGGTGTAAAGAACATGAATCCTGGACGCTTTACTTGTTTTCTCCAGAGAGCCCGTGAGACACACACACACACACACACAAACACACAAATTTACAACCATCATTTGATTCTAATAACTATAAGAGATTTAAATATACTTTTAAAACAAAATACATATGTATTCACCACATTTTCTTTAATCTTTTTAAACTTTGGTCTTAATTAGTTACATTGGTCTATACAGTATTTGATTTTTCTAAATTTGCTTGCTGATGTGTACTGCTAGTTTTTTTTAACAATAGCTGTTAAACCACCATTCATATTTTAAAGGATATTTTGTGTGTTTTCAGAGTCCGTAGCTGGTGCCAAAGCGTGATCTCTCACAAACTGTTCGACCATGTGGTTCTGGTTTTCATCTTCCTCAACTGCATCACCATCGCTCTGGAGAGGCCTGATATTCCTCCCAGCAGCAAGGTGAGAAACTGTTTTTAATCACAAGCTGACCAGATCTTTTCTTCTTGTGGTACAGACTTAAACCAGTAAGGCTAATAGGAAAACTCTGTTGTTCAGCGTTATTCAAAAGAAACACCTGCTTAGTTTTTGATAGAATGTCTTCACATTCAACTGCAGTTTAACTGATTTAAGTTCATTTAGGTAAACTTGCCTGACAATGATTTGATTTTGCCTTTTAGGAGCGAGTGTTTCTGAGTGTGTCCAACTACATTTTCACTGTGATCTTCCTAGCAGAGATGGCCATTAAGGTAAATATTTTTACAATTGATCTTACTGACCTTTAACAATTTTTTAATAATAAAAATATTAAAGATGAAATATTATGCTAAATCCACTTTTTTAGCTCTTAAATACATTTTCTTGTCTACTTGGGAGTCTCCAGGGGCCTCKTGCATAAAGGATTGCGCAGCTTTCACACTAAAAATTGACATACGGACAATTTTAGAAAAGTGCGCCGCACCAAAAAATTCAGATGTATAAAACTGTGCACACACAGGTTCCTGCACACCTTTCCTTTATACATCCCAATGAACGTGGAACTGAGCGTACGTGAGACACCTTCCCTGACACACCTCCATTTAAATATGTAAAATAGATGTAAATGTGTCCAGAGTGTGAGATTCTCCTCAGATTCCTCCCTGTGGGATCGGAAATGATTTTTAGATGCAGGGAAATTATACATTAAATGAAGAATGAGTTAGAAAACTGTCTAAATAAGTAGTGGGGTGTCATTGTTTTATGTGGTGCATTTGCACGGGATAACCAAAGCCTGAGATTTTCCTGAAATTTACAGACATCTCCCGAATGTGATGTTGAAGCCTGGTTAGTTGTTGTCTATTTAGTTGAACACGGCATTGAACGGACATTTAAAAACAAAACAAAACAAACTAACTAAAAAAAACATCTCGTTATCCACTTTTTCCTCTCTCCTTTCCTCCTGTGTTAGAACAGGAGCTGTCATCTCCACGTACAGACCCCCACCCTACCCTCACCGACGGGTACGAGTGGTGGCCTACAGATTTTTAGTAAAAAATATAGATTTTTGAGGCTCATTAGACAGGTAAACGTCCAAAGGGGTTGACATACATGAACACCTTCACAGCTGGCGAGGGTGCGCGTGCCTGGCGCGAGAATCTACCCAAAGCRCAGCTGCTGCGCTCCGACCACAACTCAACTCAGCATCAGCCAGAAGGTTACACACAGAAAAAATAATTATTCTTACAGTACAGTGAGCCACCATTTGCATCCGATTTTGCTCCCTCTCTTCAGCCTTTTTTATTSTATTTTATTKTTTATGCCGCACGTAATGTGTCAGGTTTTTCTGGCCCAGGACCCAAAAGGTTTTCAACTATGTGACAAWTAWAWWAWAAMA